AAAAACACAAAAAACAAAATCCAAACTACATTACTCAAAAAGACACCCAGCTACTGTTTCGCTACATAACAGCATTATTCAATCTATCTCTTAAAACAGGATACGTCCCGGCCTTTTGGAAGAAAGCTAATATACTCATGTTCCCTAAGGAGGGAAACCAGCGAATAAATCGGATAGCTACTGACCGATCAGCCTGACCAGCTGTAGAGGAAAAATATTAGAATACATAATAAAGAATAAAATAACTACATATTTGAAAGGTACAGATAAATTACCAGAAATACAAAATGGTTTTCCAAAATCCAGACAAACAGTAGACCACACGGTGAGATTAATAGAAACAGGTATTGATAAATTAATAAAATATAATGCACTGTCGTTTGCTTTCTCGATATTGAGAAAGCATTCGACACTGTACGGCATAACGGTCTCAGGTTCCGTATGTCTGAAGTGGAACTACCGCTTGGTATTATTCGCTGGTTGTCTAACTTCCTGGAAGAAAGAAGATGTAGAATTAACGTGGAGGGAACCTACTCGGAGTATTTCACTCCCAAGGCAAGCGTTTCGCAGGGAAGGGTAGTTAGACTTATACTTTTCATCATGTATGGCAGTAACATAGGTCTAAACGACCCGAAAGTAGGCTTCGCGTCACCATCTCGAAAAGCTCTCTAACTCCGGCAATAGCGTCAACTAACTTACAACCGCAACTCAACAGAATACGTGAATACTGTCAGAAATACAGAATCAAAATAAACATACCAAAAACACAACAACTTCTCTTCACAAAATCAACCAAAATGTCAAAACATTCACCAATACTATATTTACAAGGAACTCGCCTCCAGAATGCCATACCAGCAACATATGATACAAAATTAAATTGGTCTCAACATTTAAATGATGTAACAAACATAGTAAGGAAACACGGAAATTATGTACGGAGTCTGTCAGGGAAAAAACAAAGGTACTTCTGCAAAAAACATTCTTAAAATTTTACACTACATACACAACAGAACCGTACTGGAATACGCATGCCTAGCCTGGTACAGTATTTCACAAAACAAAATAAAAATGAGCTACAAGCCATACAAAATAAAATACTAACTACAGCATTCCGCGTACCAAGAAGCACATTAGCAAAATGTCTTCGTAATCATGCAAACATGGATTACATATCTGACAGTTCCATCATATTACAATGAAGTATTTCCATAAAAATCTGTATAAAAATGCCTTATTAAGTGAATTAAATAGATGTGACGTACCTGATGGAATAGTACCTAAGTACCTCTTCACATTAAATAGCTACATTAATTATAATAAATAACCAACCTACAATATATTATTAGAATGAAATACGAGTTTATTAAAGGGTATTTATGTTAATACACTACTAGTATGCTAATCTAGTGAAAATTGCGCCATTAACAATGGAACTGTTAGCGAGTGTGCAGGACTATGGCATACACCTAGCATCAGTGAAGTGTTAATAACGTATACACATGTTAACAATGTATCATACATGGACATGGCCCTATGAAAGGGGTTGGATGAAGTATTCTAAAGAATGTAAACTCCGACTCTCGTGTAAATACAACATTAACATTTATAGAAGTGAAATATTGTGAACATTAACAGGAGGCGGGAGAGGTCAAAACTGCACCCCCCACCTCCCAAAGTCGAGATCGAAAGCCGATGACGAACTGAACGAAAGTCAAGGTAGCTCTGGAGGAAGAGTTCTGGATTGAGCCAGTTCGCGCACAAAGACCAAAACACCGACACAGACAGACCAGACATGGTAACTCTACTACAGTCCATTGCTCTACCAACTGAGCTATGTTGGGAAGTAGGGTAAGTAAAGTGGCTGACTAATTATGGCACCATTAAAACGACCTTCCCCGCCATTAGTGACCGTTAACCAAATACAAGTTGGCCCATAACCATTTTTATTAGTGTTTAATTTCGAACATTTAGGCTGTTTTAGACAGTCGACTTTCGAACTAAAAATTACTGATGGAGTCATCGTTTATGGCTTATAGTGATAACAATCCAGGTTTGATCCTTTCAGCGGGCATAGTGCAGGTAGCCCATTGTTCTATACAAACCTCAATAATAATATGCTAAAGTAATGTAGTTGTGTAGATTACATGACATCACCGATCACACTACAAATAAGTTTTTTAGAAAAACAAAAATGAAAGTGAAAATTGTTAATATTTGACAGTCAGTACAATAAAATCAGTAATCAAATAATACTGTAAACGAAAATTTAATCCTTTAACAATCGTAAATCTTCGTGTCACTTAATGACGTAAAGTTTAACTATACTCCCAAAAGTTGCATGAATATTTATTTTTGTACTAAAGGCTTTAGTGATTACATACCATTTGCATTAGAATGGCACATTTAAACAAGGCAGTTCATAGTATAGGTCATTGAACTGATTACAAAACAAAATTGCAATTTATATCTTTATAAAAAAAAACCTTTACAGAATAATCTTTTAGATATCTATTTCTATTTATTTTTATTATGTGTTTACTGTTCAAAGCTTTACGTTGAATTTCATTTGTTTTAAGAACCAAGTTTACTTTTTACTTAGTTGTTAAGTCTCCTTAGGGATAATTCTTTAAAGAATGTTTTAATCACTTAAAAAAAGGTAGAGTATATGCGATCAAAGCTAATAATTAAAGGAACCTAATCTACTTACCTTCCTAATTTACCATTTCCGCTAAAGCTCATAATGTCAGAATTATTAATAATTAGCCTAACCGGAAACGATGTCATCTCCCGCTATTTGTTAGTCCATGTAGTGGAAGTATTTATATAACTAGTCTAGGTTTATATGTATTTAAAAATTAGAGAATTAAATATAATTTTGTTAAGTATTTGCTTAAAATGTTTTTTTTTTTAAGTTTACTTTTGTTTCGGACACTTTTGCATAGTTATGATTCTGTTCTATTGAGTGTTGGGAAGAAGGAAGATGTAAACATTGTGTCAATCCTGATGAAGCCGCAAAGGCGAAACGTCGATTGGAATAAAAGTTATCTTATAATTATCTGGAGTGAAAAAGGTCGTTCTTTTTCTATCTTTATTATCAAAATGTGTCAGTGTTTTAACAATACATTATCAAAGAATAAAACGTAAAAATACACTTGCGTTTATTAAACAACAATCTTCCCTGCACAAGTAACATACACTTAAACATTAAGCAAATTCTTCAAGGGAAACATTTAAAGATTTTTTTTCATTAAAATATCTACTGTGAAAAATCTTTTCCCAACACACAAGCAAGTATATTAGTATTGTTTTGTTCACAATTCAGTATTTTTAATACCCATTTTTTTCTGTAAAAAAGACAACAAAACAGAAAAAAAGCTTTTTTTTTTACTGAATGAATCATTGGAAGTGAAATGATAATTAATGATTGGCAGGGTGAGCTGAAGGGAGCATTTGCTTTACCTAAAAATTGTAGTCAAAATCACGAAAAAATTTATAGCTATTCAGTGATAAGCAGAGAAAAAATGCAGTAGTATTTTCCCGCCTATGTCTGCTGAGTTATTTCACTAAGTGATAAATGACGTGCGATTTATGAAATATTACCGCAACCAGGATCCCCTGTAAGTGTCCCTGTGGATTAATTCCTCATAAAATGACATTGCATCGATGAAACCATGGAGAAAATTTTAAATATTACGTGGGAAAAAGCTCGTAAATACTGAATATTGTCTTTATTTTATTCTAGTATGTCCAAGGCTAACTTTTCAGTTTAGTGATGGTCTAGTTTTATTATGTTCGGATAAGAATTAGACATTGTTATAGCAATTGTAGGTGACGTTACGATGTTTTAGAAATACAATGTAACTGTAGGAAAATACTTCTGAAAGTTTCTTCTTTTCTTGTCGTATTGTTGAGGTAGGCCACAAAAGGTATTCTGACCACATGTACAAGAATAAAAAGATCAAATGTTTATGTATGGTTATTTCGTTGTCATTCTGAATACAGTAATACCTCGATATGCGTATGTTCGATTAACGAAGTTTCGGTATAATGAAATTTGGATTTTTTTACCATTAGTTTACATAGAAAGCTAAAACAAAGTAAAATAATAAATAAGTACACTGAAATGATTTATTTATCTGCAGCAGTAGATCTATTATCTTAAAATTACATACCCAGGCCACATTAATTTCCTATTTTCTCATGTTAAGACCATATTTCTAGACCACGAGCGGGGTGAGGGAGGATTGTTTAATCTTCCAGCACCCCAAATTAATAATTATTTCTTCGGAAATAATTATCTTTAAATCTAAATAACTGCCAGGGAAAATAACAACAGAACGGGGGGGGGGAGAAAGGTGCCGGGGCCCCAGGCATCCAACGCAAAGAGTCGAATCGAATAGTAGAACCCTTTCCGCCCTTCCCCCAAGGTCTTAGGTACAAGGCCCCGGGCATCATAGAACCTCTACACGCCACTGATCTACAGTACAACATAAATAAGAATAAAATTATAATAAGATATAGATTTTTAAGCGTTGCGCATCTAGATGGTCATATATTGTTTGATAATTAACATTCGTCTCTGCTGTCAGGTTTTATGTGTTAGGCAGGATTCTTTACAAAAAATGTCTGACTTGTTGGCGATAAATTTCAATAAACAGTTGGCATACAGTCCACTTGTTTTAAAATAATATATACGTAATAAGACAAATTAATGGTGAATTACGAAGGGTTAGGAATGCATCCTCATAGTTATAATGTTATAAGTTATTCAATATACGAACGAAGCTCGAGGAACGCATCTATTTCGTATATCGAGTCATTACTGTAACAGCGGTAATATCGTTTTTAAAACATTTTTGTTTAGTTTAGTTGTTATGTTCGCTGATAGATGGCACAAGGTGTATGATTACATCCAACGCATCATAATAGTAGGAGTTTTAGACAGATGTGGTATATACATAATGGATAAGCAAGCACGCCAGCTTCAGATCCCCAGGTGCAAAGAAAGCGGGAGGACGAAAGCACGTTGTAGTGCAGCAGGAACGGTGCGTCAAAGACTATGACGTATAAGCAGCACGTTTCTGAAACATCTGCACTGCGGACACTTTTAGAAATCAGTTAATGATTGTGGTTGCTAGGCCTAACTTTGCTTCTAACTGGGAAACTGAGTACTTTTGTTACTTTATCGGGGAAGTTTTGTGACTGAGTCAATTGTTCTGAGTGCAGCAGTTAGTGCAAAACTCTATGGTAAAAAAAAAGGCCATGGCGAACACTAAGGCAAAAGCACTTAATGGACACGACGTTACAGAGGCTGAGTTTCAGGTAGTACATATTGAACCTCGACCTTTCCGTCCTTTCAAGTCCAGTGAGGAGTATCTATATGCTATGAAAGAAGATTTGGCCGACTGGCTCAACACTCTTTACAATGTAAACATCACTGCCGAAACTTTCATGGAAAGCCTTGAGACGGGAGTCCTCTTGTGTGTTCACGCTAATCACGTCGTAAGGACCGCCCGGGAGTGGCGGCGGTCAGGTCGGAATGATCTCAACACCATCATCCCGGATCAGGACGTGGTGTACCGCAGTGATGTCCAGCCCAGTACTTTTCAAGCACGGGATAACGTGTCCAACTTCATCACGTGGTGTACGAATCTACCGATTATGGAGTGTTTACGGTTTGAAACAGACGACTTGGTCATGAGAAAGAACGAGAAGAGTTTCATCCTTTGCCTTCTGGAAGTTGCAAGAAGGGGCGCTAAGTTTGGGATGCTTGCACCACTCTTGGTCCAGATGGAAGAGGAGATCGACGCAGAGATAGCTAAAGCTGACTTCGATTCCGACGGCCACGAGGCTGACGACGACTCTGATGCTACCAGTGCGTCTGGTGTTGGAGAGCCTTCTCAAAATCAAATCATTACTAACAACCTAAGAAGTCTTCATGAAAGGGTAAGTGGAAATACTAAGATATTAACAACGAGTTTAGGGCGTCAATATGTGTACCAAGTAACTATTTCTTATCAACCTGATAGGCGTGATAACAAAATTAAAACTATTTATAAACATTAAAACAATTTGCTACAAACAAAACAGGTACTTTCTGACAAACATTTGAACTTTTGACTTATTGCAATTTTTCTCTTAGCTTAGTTGACAGGGTTCTTGGTATGTCAACTGTTTTCTGTACAATAAATACTTCGCACTTGTGGGTGTAAGCAAATATTACTCTCTGCTATCTTCCGGAATTTGAGGGGGTTTTGTCGTGAAGTTAAAGGAAAAAAACAGAGTAAAATAGAACGATGACGCAACGATTAAATAGAAACTGCTAGATTTTTAGGCAGGGCGCCGCCACGTAGACGGAAAATTTCAACGAAACGGAATCGTCTGAACTATAACGTTGAATCTAGTAAATTTTAGATATTCTATAGGTTGCCGGCTTATTAAAAAATACGCTAAGCAAGGTAATTATTATCACACGTCGTGGGATAATGTATATATTATATCTTGAAGAGACAGCGTTCGTGTCAGTCCTTAACAAGAATGAATATTTTAACCTGTAGTTGTATGTTTATTAAACGTGTTTGTAAAATCGTCGAGTTAACATGAGTAAATATAATTAAATGTAAAACACTAGTCCCTTTAATGACGTCCAACACCAGACATTAGATACATTTAACCGGATGAGATCCTGAGACTCTTTACTGTTATTTATTTAGTCTTAGTTAGGTGAGAACTTCGGACCCTCACGGTAATTACAATTATATTACTTTTTGTTTGTTTTTATGGCAAAGGAAAACAGACCATGGACCCTTAAATTGATGTTAGCCACTAGGCCATGCCCGACTCAGGCCTGTGCTGAAGAAGGTTAATATACTGATAATTGTATTAATATCTAGGCTGAACTACGAACGTACAAGGCATTCATCTTTCCCAGTATTAAATTCGTAATGTATGTACTGTACCAAACAAGGTTTTATTTCTAACTGAGATAGAAAAAATCTTCATTTGTTGAAAATGAGTCAGACACGTTTAGTTGTGTGTTTGTGTTGACATTGGAATGACACGTTTAGATCTGTGGGTTGAACTGGGGCCTGACATGTCTAGGTGTGTATGCGTGTTGAAATTGAGTCTGACACGTTTGCAAAGTGTGTTATTTATTAAAATATTTACATGATAACATTCGCTAGTACGGTTTAGTGAAATATGTCGTGGTAATATGTTTTTGAACTTGTAATTCGCATGGGCAGCCTTTCATTATTCGGTCCTCAAATTAATGCGATCGATACAAGAATGAATGGCACCGACAAACAGGTTATTATATTGCATGTAGTAAAGATATGTCAATGTCAGTGTTATTGGCCTTTTGTACTTTTCAAGGTCCGATTGTTTTATGTAACACATCTCATATATATACACACGTTTGTGGAGTGAAAAAATACTTTTTTATGTGATTTTTGTACGGAGTGTCTATACATAGCCTAAAGCAACAGGCAACATTCCTGGTCTAAGTTCCACTTACCTAAAAAAAAATAAAAAAATAATGTAATCATCTATCTGTCTGTCAGTATAAAAATCATAACCACTTACGAGAGACGTGTTATGTTACAAATTCAAGGGCGTCCTTCTAAAGATGACTAGATAGTACTCGGCCGATAATTTGTTGATAAAATTTGGAGATTAAAATTAGGGAAAGTAGAAATATATCTATAACTTATTGTTTTATCATTTATGTATACTTTATATTCGTGCCTGACACACTTCATGAATAACTAAATGGAAGTAAGTATTAAAAAATGTCGGGACTTAACTGAAATTTATTTTGATGTTATACTGATTTCAACAAAAAATACACACCGAGTTCATTATTTATGCTTAGTTCGTAACTGGAAACAAAATCGTATATTAAAGTTAACACTAAAGTATTCAATACACTCGTCAGAATCTTTAGTTCGTCGAAAATTATTTTCATGATCACGTGATAATTATTTACAAGAAACAGTTGATGTAATTTTCCATAGATATAAATAACACTAGATTGGCCAGTTATTATTCTTTATCATTGAGGGGCATGTGCGCATGCTGCCGCCATTGCTTTGTGTTGAATTTCGAACTGGCAGACAATGTAAAATGGCTGAGAGTGACAGTCGTTCGTCTAACTCACGACGAAAGGAACACAGTGCTATGCCATTAACTTTTACACATACCGTAACTAAGAGTCGAAGGTTTGGGTGTTACATTCTACAAATAAGTAAAACTTTTTTTCTCTATAATATATTAAGTAACAGTGGGTAACATCGCCGTGGACATGGTGGTGACATCGAACTGGCGTGGATGTTTACATCTAGTTTCAAAGCATATATATTATGTATACGAGTCTTTTTTGGAAGGCATTTCAACTAAACAAGTCAGTATGGCAGTTTTTGATGTGAAATGCTGACAATATTAAGTACCCACATAAGTTAAAATAACCATCCACGATATTCTAATCTCGCTTGCTAACCTCAGTGTCATTATGATAAATAATCAGCATGCACTACAAGTGGCCCAAAATATTTTGTATTGCTTGAACAACAACAACAAAAAAAAAACATTAATCTTACTGTGATATATACATATATAGAAAAGTGCTTGTAACAGAGTGAGCCTGGTTTTATTACAGTATATGTACATGCCTTTCTATTTTGTTACATTTAATTGTAATATATGTGTGAAATTCGAATGAATTTTATTATATATGAATGTTATATATTATATATGAATATATGTTGAATATTTGGAGGTGCAGATACATAAATAACATTCTTCTCCACCCCACCTCCAAGAAAAGGACATGATGCGCCACCTCTTGTTCATTGGCAACAATATTTGAGGTATAGATATATTTCTGTGATACATAATAAACACCGCGGAAAAAGAACAGATTTTAATCTTAAGATTTCCCTCTGGGCTAAAATCCAATGCATTTTTTATATGACAAATCAGATATGTGTGTGTTTTGTGAAGGATTGTTGCACTAATTCTTAACTTAAAATCAGGTTTAGATCATCTTGGTTTGTCAAATTTATTAAAATCAATAACAAAATTATCCAAACGTCTAGTTTAGATGGAAAATGGCCATTAGTTGTGAGGTGAGATCGCCTTGCCATTGTCAGTTCGACTGGCGGGTTTTGAAAGTTCAACGCATGGCAATGGCGAAAATCACGGAATTCCAATTTAGTGTGTTATTTATATCTATGTAATTTTCGATTTTGTCAGTAACGCCCTCTTCCAATGGTCTTGTTGGAGGTGAAAGCAATTTTATACTCTTACTTTTCCGACCCTCTCTTTAAGAGTTAATCTTTCTCCTTCTCTGGTAATTTTTGTTTATTCACTATCGACCCAGTGAGACAGAAACTGTCTTGTTCGAAAGAGAATCTTCACCCTCTTGGACACATCGAGAACTGTAAATCAATGAACCTATGTATACAAAACACTTCACTTGATTTGGAAGGTGAAGCACAAACCAAACCACCTATAACAACTTCCGTAGCGCACTGGGAGTGAGAAAGCGCAAAAAACAATTTCATTTGCATTCGAAAATTCCTGTTCAGGAACATTTAAATAAATTCTTCTGTACACAAACGAGCGCCATATTAAAGCGGGAACTGATGGAATTGCAGCACCAGACTCATCGCAAAAAATAGGCCCAACAAATTTCAAAGTACTTTGCTTTTTAAATATCTTTGCCCCATTCTCTCTTGTTCCTTTTTCGCTTTGTAATTCAAACGTAATTATTTTAATTTTAGTTATATTTAAGAAAGAATAAAATTCTGTTTAGTTGGTTGTTGTATTAGTATATTAAAATTATGGTAAATATTACAATTATTATCAGACTTTTCAGTTGAAGTTTTTGTAAAAGATACGCCACTTATTATTTTTCATGATAATATTGCTGTGTACATGTTTTTAATAAACGTTCAAAATTAATTTTAGGTTGATATTATTTTTAGTTAACTGTTTTTTTATGTATGAGTAGTATTAAAAAACTGTACAAATGAGAAAGTTGTCTGTCAAAAAATATATATATAATGTAATTGTAAACTAATGAATAACTTATCACTAAAATGTCAAATACAAATTTCTTTGCTTGATTTTTATGTTTTAAATGTAGATTAGCCCATAACATTTTTCAGCTCCAAGACCACAAAGCCGTTAATCCGGCCGTGACACGAACTTAATTATTTGTGTTAATACATGGCCAGGTGGATAAGACGCTCGACTCACAATCTGAGGGTCGCGAGTTCGAATCCCTGTCACACCAAACATGCTCGCCCTTTCAGCCGTGGGGGCGTTATAATGTGACGGTCAATCCCACTATTCGTTGGTAAAAGAGTAGCCCAAGAGTTGGCGGTGGGTGGTGATGACTAGCTGCCTTTCCTCTAGTCTTACACTGCTAAATTAGGGACGGCTAGCGCAGATAGCCCTCGTGTAGCTTTGCGCGAAATTCCAAAACAAACATAAACCTTCTCTGTTTTTGTTTTTTTTAATTTCATATAGGTGTCGAAAGCAAAAGTTATGTGAGTGGAACTATTAGGGAGGGGCTAATGTTCCATGTAATTCAAGTTTGTTAGAAGTGAAACTAGGGGAGTTCGATAGCACGTTTCTCCGAAAAACTTGTATAATTCGAGTAGTAAATTGGAGCTACTTTGATGCAACGGGAGGGGACAAAAGATATAGAAAAAAAAAACACGAGCGCAATTAACGTGAAAATGATTTGTTTTTAATGGGCAACTTAATCACTTATTTGCTACCTGAACCTTTTTATCCTGTTTTTTCTACCCTTTCCTTCCAGCTCTTAAACAGTTGTCAGAATCTTTATCTATTTATAGGGAGTTATTATTCTGGACCAAAACTAAAATTCGAGTTCGGTTACACTTAAATCTATCGAAATGTTTTAGGAGATGAAGTGT